ATAGCTATATAGTTAGATTTGATTGGTTAATGGTTGATGAACCCTTATATAGCTATCTAACTCATTGAAAGAGATTTGGATTCTCAGCTTAATCTGTAATCTATTTTAGATTTGTGATATCCTTGTTTTAAAAAGATTGATGTAACTACTATCATAAATTTATGTGGAATTTTTATACTTCCTTTTATATTGTGTAAACTCTCTCTCACTCTCGTGCACACATGTGCGTACACACAATTTAAACACAATCGAATTCTTCTTCTTCTTTTTTGGCAAAATTAACACAGAATTGAATTCAATGATATTCAAACCACGTCCCTAAATTTATTATGATGTCAAAGCACACATAGCCTTCTCTAAATTTGTAGAGTTTATCCAACATGCCCCTGAATTTGTAGAGTTGATCAACAGATTAGAAGCGGGTGATGAAATGTGTGTGTGTGTGTGAGAGAGAGCGAGAGAGAGAGAGAGGTGAGAGAGAGAGAAGGAGAGAGAGAAATGGGGTGTGCGTGAGAGAGAGGAGTGTATTTTGTGTGTGTGTGTGAGAGAGAGAGAAGCAGATTTTGAAAAATTTATAGTAAGGAGCGTCGCCTGCTAAAAATCAATTTTTTTTGTCTACCTATTTCCTTTTTAATAATGAATTTTGTATGGAGGTCATCGATTGAGAGAAGAGAGGGAGAGAGCCAAGTCAAGGGCAATGGGCAGAGGCAGTTGGGATGAGAGAGTCGAGCATGGAGACAAGGTTGGGGATTTCAAGGGAATGTGGAATAGAATCACTAAAAGTCGAAGATTGGTTGTCGCCATTGCTAGTTCCTATAGGGGCAAAGGCATGAGCTTCAGCGACCTCATTCAGGTCCCCTATCTCTCTCTCTAAAAGTTACAATTCTCTCTCTAAAAGTTTTAGTTGGTTTTGTTGAGAAAGAATGACTTAAAATTGTGAATGTGATGGTTCTCTTTGTCAAAAAAGATTGTGCTTTGACATTATAATGCACCGATCTGGATAGTAGTCGAGTGCTATAACAAACAATCACATATAGGCATTCCTCTTAACAAATCAAAACTGATAGTTTACATAGAATTTAAGCTCAAAATATTGATAAACAAAAGCATTTATGATGCCTCCACGCTGACGGCAGTACAATATGATTCTAAACCCATGATCACAGTTATATAATTAATTTAACTTCTCAATAGATGATGCAAATGATTCTGCAAGACCGGTCAAGTAAACCCAAACATGTAGATGCAAATAAGAGATATCCATAAGCGAGAATAAATAAAACCCTTTAAAGAATATATTTACTAACAATAAAATATTGAGCGTAAAAACATATAAATAAGAGGCTATAGTTTTTTAAATACTTTTAGATACGTAAAGATTAAATGCCATTTTGCAAAGCAAATCTATTGTAAATGAAGATAACAAAGGAAAAATTTACTAACATGTTATTGGAGAGAGGCCCTACAACTTACCCTATTATGTCCCGGTTGATCACACCTGCCACAACGAATAGGTCTCACTTCCACCTCTTGTGACTCCATGCGTTTCTTCTTAGGACGACCAGAAGGGTGTTTTGTGCATGGTGGTAGCACATTTGGCTCATCTGAAAATGACTCCCCATGCAATGACATATCATATAGTGAGACAAGTTTAACTGGTTTAGAATATGTCTCTTAGTACTTTGTAACTGTTAAGTACTCATCACGGTATTCATACAAATCCCTTTTGGCCACATATAGACCTTTAGGTGCATGCTTACTTGACAATCCCATGATCTGCCATGCCCGACACTCACACTCTTGTGTGATTATGTTCACACAGCAACTCCTGTGGTCTCCAATTATTTCAAATTCTTCACTTGAAACCCTTATAACACTTACAGAAAGAGAGCCCTTTATGTTTGCTGCCAATCTCTTTTCCACATTGGGGGTGAGAATAGTAGTCCACTTTTCAGACTCCAAAAGGTGCTCGGCCATCAATTGCGTTATTTAGCTCCTGATTCGATCTAGGTATTGTAATATAGAGAGTTTTCTTCAAAAAGGCTATTAGACTAACTTAATAATGTATAGATATAAATACTTAATAATGTATAGATATAAACATAAAACCAATGATAAACATACCTTGTGTGAATATTTATCAGAGAAGCACCACTCCTTTGTTCACATCCATCAAAGACATATATTTCGAGCTCATTGTAGTTTTCATGTGCAAGTAGTATTGTTTCTAAATCATTGTCACTAATTATGGTGACAAGCCGTTTCTTATTACTTGGGAAAATATATTGCACGTGAGTTTATGGAGAATCGCTTTGCTACATGTTCCTTTATCTCGTCCAACTTCGTGTGTTGGTGAGTAGAAAATGCACTTGAATCACCACCAACATTCTCCACGCTGCCATTTGAGCTAGAGCGAAGCTCAACACCATATATATACAAGAACAATCGACTACTTGTGTTTATCATATTTCAACTGACCTATGAGACCAAAATAATAATTGTTCTCAATAATGTAATTTTTACAATGGTACCAATAATAAAAAAAAAGTAGTGGCTTAAAGCGGGTTAGTGTGGATAGAAATGTGAGGTGGCTACCTGGTTCAGGAATGTCGATTTCCTTTTGGAATCATAAGTGGTTAGATTCTATTCCTCTTAAGTATGTTCACCCATTACTTTTTGAAAAGATATGTTTTCCTCAAGCTTATGTTGCTGATTTGGTGAAAGTAAGGGGTGATAAAGTGGCTTGGAATATTACTCTACCTTATGATTGCATTGATAGCTATCTTTCACATTTCTTACTCACATTATTGAAGGATCTCAGCAATGAGTTAATCTGGGAATTAGATAATGATGGTTTACTTTCAGTCAAATATGTTTATAACCTACTTTTCTTTGATAGAGTTCGTTGGAGGTCTCTAGCGTTGCGGCTGATTTGGAAGTGGTCGGTTCCTCATAAAGTGCAGATCTTCTTGTGGTTAGCTGCACAGAATAAGATATTCACAGTGGATAATTTGATCAAATGGGAAAAAATTATCACTAATATTTGTTTGATGTGCAAGGAGGATGGTGAAACAGGGCCTCATCACTTTATACATTGTGAATTTGTTTCCAGAATTTGGTGGTGGAGTTTCCAGATTTTGGGATTGCATTTACTTTTGCCAGAAAATGTTTTGGATCTCATCGTTCAATGGGATGTGTCTCTTCCTAAAGTGGGGGGTAAGCTGTGGAAGATTTTACCTGCAATAATTTGGGAAATTTGGCTTGAGAGGAATAGAAGAACTTTTGATGGGGAGGTTAGTTCTTTTGGTAAGATTATCAATAATATCAAACTCATTGCGTGGTTGTGGATCTTTATCACCAGAGAAGGGAGAGGCATAACCCAGACGGATGTTATGCTCAATTTGGCCAATCTTTTTAAACTAGACGTACCTAGAGTTTGTCCTTGCGATAGGTGGAAGCCGCCGGAACTGGGGAGTTATAAGTTGAATTTGGATGGGAGTGCTTTGGAGAATCTGGGTCGGGTATGTTTCAGTGGAATTATCCGTGACTCGCCAGGGTCTATGCTACTTCTCTATGTTGGTCCTTGTGGTTCTACCACGGCGGATCACGCAGAATTAGCAGGGGTCTTGGAAGGTTTGAATCTGATTTTGACAAAATTTCCCTCTATTCCTTTTGTGATAGAGGGAGATTCGCTTAATGTAATCAAATGGTGCTGCAAAGATCAACGTATCCTTTGGCAGTTGAAATTATTGGGCCTTCAAATCTTTGACATTCTGCCGCGGTTAACTCTTTCTTTCCAACATGTCTACAGAGAGGCAAATATGATGGCAGACTCATTAGCTAAAAAATGAGTTTCTCTCTCTGAGTTGGTTGTTGCTGATGATATTTCGACGCTGTTGTAATCTTCGTTGATTATTAATAAAGTTATATCTTTTTGTCAAAAGAAAAGAAGGAAGCGGGCATCGGCTTCACAAACCCTAATGGAAGAAGCCCTAACTGATTTTTAGAGAGAGAAAAGGAAGATGGAGGGCTGATTTGGGATAGTTTGAAGAGGGTTTTTATCTCTGATTCGATTTGGGATGTTGTTTGAGAGAAAGCCCTAACTATATTGATTTGTGAATATGCCCTAACTGACTTTTAGAGAAAAAAAAGGAGGGTTTTTCATTTTCTTGAGAGAAACAACAAGCATAGCTGAATGATTAGGGTTGGGGAACTAATCCTATATGTACAAATGATTACACTATATTGTTTATTTTTGTTGTCACATAATCAAAAACAAAATATTGATTACTTGGTTCTGTAGTCACACTTTCTGTTTCTCATTCATCAATATATTGTTTATCTTTGTTATCACATAATCAAAAACAAAATGTTGATTACTTGGTCCTATAGTCATACTCTTTGCTTCTCATTCGTCAGTAAAAGACTATGTTTTGAGCTCTAATTTGTGCCATAACTAGTATTTTCATAAAAAACAATAACAAATAATCACATCAATCTGCATGTATATGATTTCTTTACATAATGATTTACTTTACAAAATGATTTGCTATAAATAGTATTTCATTTACACAATTATTTTCCACAATAACATCTGAAATCTGCATCTATTTGTTTAAGTTTAAAAAAGAGGGAAAAAAAAATTCATACCTTCAATCTGCAAAACCGTGGCTTTGAAGAATACAGTGGCGATAAAAAATTTCTATTTTAGGCTTTTTTTGAAGTAATAATTTTTTTTTTCCAAAAGTATGAAAGTAGTAATGGCTGCAATGGACAAAACAAAATAAGTAAAAAAAAAAAAAATCTTTTATAAAAAATTATAGGTAAAAAATATATGATTTTTTGAACTGATTTGAATCGTATTATAAAAAAAATGCCTTTAAAACGTTTTTATGAAAACTACGCGATTTTTTCAGACCTTTTCAAAAAGTCACCATTTAAAACTGTTTCCAAAAAACGTCGTTGTTTTGAAAAATTCGCCATTTAACTCCTCGTATGTTTAACTTCCTCGTAGGTTTGCTTTCGCTTTTTTATTGAGCTTAGCTTAATATGTACTGGTAAAGATTTGAAGGAAGAGGAGATTGTCATTTTCCCGTTCCTTCAAGGTGAAATCGCTAGAGCACGAGTACCAAAATTTTTTAAGGTAATAGCTATTTGGTTTTTTGTTTTTTTTTCAAAGATAATAGCTATTTGCCTCCCTCTGCTCCTGGTTCCTTTGTCCTTCATTTTGGTTCTCTCCTCGAGGCCCTCTAGAGATCCTTTCTGCTCCCTGCTCTTCTTCATTTTGGTTCTCTCCCTCTAGGCCCTCTAGGATCTCTACTGCTCTGTCCCTCCCTGCTCACTTCGCTATAATCATCAATGGTTTAAGTCCAATTCCTTTTCCTCCTTGCCATTTCAACATTAGCAGCTCTCTCTATAACCCACCTGCCTCAATACATCACTTTCTACTTCGCTTGCAGTTCCTTCTATAACCCATTATGAACCTAGCTGCCATGAACCTAGTTGCAGGCACCTATGAGCAGGTAGTATGGGGCTTCAAGCTCAGACTCCACAATGAAAACGAAACTGAGCAAGCGTTTCTCTCCCCCATCTTCTCTCATCATGCCCACCTCTCTCCCATCAAAGCTCTGAGTGTTTCAGGCCCTATTGCTGCCTCCTCAGGTTCAGATGAAACAGTTCGGGTATTTGACATAAACCAACGAGCAGAGATTGGAGCCCTAATCCATGACAATGGAGCCGCCTCTTGCCTGGCTTTCTATGGCTTTACTCCTAAAAATTCATCCGTCAATTTCCCTGTACATCTTATCACTGGTTCAGAGCAGGGTTCCATCTCCATTTTTGATGTCGAAGCTCTGGTTCACTTGAAATCGATTCGAGCTCACAAAAAAGGTGTAAATGACCTAACAATCCACCCAACTGGTAGGGTTGGACTGTCCATTGGTAGGGATTTGCAGTTGTGTATGACGAATTTGATAAAGGGGAGGAGGAGTTTCGGTTGTAAGTTGCAGAAAGAGGCGTCATTGATTAGGTATGGGTTGGATGGGAAGACCTTCTTTGTGGTGACTGAGAGGGTGATTTCGAGCCATGATTCAGAGGATGCGAGGTTGCTTTTGTCGATGGAAAACTCGAAGAGGGTCAATTGCATTGCACCTGCTGAGGTTTGGTCTTTCTTTCTCATTTTTTTTTCCCTCTCTCTCTTATGTTATTGTCTCTCGATCTCTTTCTTTATTTTTTTTTCTTTCTTTTTAATAGAGAAGGGTGAAGTGTACATGTTGATGAGAGGTCTGATAGAAAAGAAGAGAATTTTTGTACTTACACACAATGAAACCACTAATAACCAAGCAAAGTTCAGTTGTTTTAATGACTTTGAATTGATATTCCAACACAAAAAGTAGCAACCTTTTAAATTGTCATTTCCTGTTATTTCTTATAATGTTCCATTGCATACAAATTTACGTTTAATTTTACATTGAGGCAGTCAAATCAATATGATTATGAATGAAATGTTTTGGATTATGAAGAATTGACATTTTTTTAGTGGTTGATTTAAAGGGTCTATGGCTAGTAAGTCTCATGACTGTTGATTCTCTAGAGGATGTAAACATCAACTTTTGATAGGAACATCACTTTCCAAAAAAAAGAAAAAATCATGGCAATAACCCCATGTTGAAGCCCATAGCAATAACTATTATGTGACAAACTTGTATTTTGTCCATAATTTTAATTGAAACACCTCGTCACTTTCTGACATATCTACAAAGTCCTTGTCCCTCTCTCCAAAAGTCTAATTCTTCCCTAACACCCTACTCACAAGTCCCAACTTTTGGTATCTTAGGTAGCCATTAGAAATTGTCCACTATTCCTCCGTAATTCAGTTGCGGAGGGGGGTGGTGGTGTTGGTGGTGGGTGGTCGTTTGAGAGAGTGGGTTGGAACCAATTTTTATGCCTGCTTTCCCTCTTTGATGAACAGTCTAAATTGCCCAGATGGGAACAGTTTCTGAAATGTGGGTCTAGAAACTAAGCTCCCGTGTTTTGCTAGTTAAGCAGCTGTATTAAATTTAGCAACACAAAATGACTATCTATAACAGTAAAACTAAACCTACAAGATAATAGTGAAACGGAACCAATAATAATTTCATGCATCCTGATTGACTAGAAATCTATCTAGACAATCTCTATTGAGCAATCCACTAGAAGGAAGGATTTCTTTGGAGACAGAGATGACAAGGTTCGAAACTCTATTTTCCATACTCTACTCATTTGTCCACTTCATCAACCACACAGCTAGCTTTCCCTAAGTTGTGTTGCACTACCTAGGAGATCCATGTTTGATCTTTGAATTTGTGTTTAGATTCAAAACATTAATCCTGAATTAAAAAGTGCCTACCAAGCATTGATGTCCAGTGCTCGCTAAATTTATTGGCAAAATCAGTTCTTCAAAAAGACCCATCTCACAAACAATATGATGCAGATAAAAATTTAGAAAGTGCGCATAAATAAGGTGGGGTGTGCGTTTTAGTAGGATTGGGGATATGAATATTGGGCAAAGAGATTTAGGTTTCCTATTTTGATAGATTTGGGAGATTTACCTAGAGATTTATAGGAGATTTAGATAGAGATGATTTATGGGGAAGATAAAGATTGGGAAATTTTGGTGCGTGAGGATTTAAGGAAATAGGGAGGCGAGAGAAAATAGGGGGAGAGAAAAAATAGGGAGAGAGAGGTGGCACATGAGGTTAAGAGAGAGAAGATAGGGGAAGTATGGATTTTTTTGGTTATTTATTTATTTTATTTGAAGTGTATTTAACGGGAAGAGGTCCCTCATTATAAACAGATCAGAGAATGATCTGAGGATGAGAGTTGAATAAAGTTGATCCTGTGATAAGATCTTTTTGAGGTGGATTCCCTTGCAGACTTTGTTTTTGGGGTGGATTATCTTGTAGACCTTGTTTTTTGGGGTGGATTCCCTTGCGGACCCTGAGAGGGTTTATTCTCTCAACAATTGTTTATTTTATTGTTATTGTTATTGTTCCAGTTTAATTTTCTCCTTGCATCACAATAGCGCATTGTATTTGCATCGTAACAAAGCATAGTATTGTTTAAGTTGTTTGCTGATGTCTGAACGAGTCTTCACTAGAATGATTTCTTTGTACTGGAGGCTATATTGATTTTTCCAAATTTCCAGAAGTCCATGCTAGTCCAGGCCAGTCCATGCCAAAAATCTTTTATTGATCTCATGATAAATGCAATACTATGTTCTACAAGGTTACAGATCGAGAGACTCTTGTCATTGAATGAATTTAACAGAAAAACCATTACTTACAAAGTAATAATGAAGAAGGATTAGGATCACTCTGCTATTACCCTTGCAAACCTTGAGGAAAAGAGGAGAGAAACACTTAGATTTAGGAGCACTGATCAACTCGCTGCATAATGCATCATAATCCAGCAATCAAGTATCTGGAAGGATAGAAATCTTAAATAAATGGCAGGACCTTCTCCTTCCAACGTATAGTGTGGTGCTTATATTTTGAACCACATTTTAGAAGTAAATAGATTTTCATTGCTGGAGTGAGGATAGCATAGGAGTGTGTATTCTCAATAGTCTTGAATAGCTACTGGGTTTGGACGACCTCCTAAGCTGCCCCATTCCCAGAAATCGAGAAATGAAGTGATTCAATGACCTGAAATCAACATATCCATTCTCTATTAAAGCCAAAACATTGGTTATCTCCAGTGAACGAAAATTTGGCCCCTTGCTGCCTAGGCAGTTTTTTTTCCAAATTGCTTAGTCGTGGGCAATGTGGCATGCTCTAGGAGGGTCCATCTAGGCACCTTCCTAGGCGGCGTAAAATGCAGGCGACTAGGCGCCGCCTTGACCTGCACCTTCATTTAGCTGAATTAATACCAAACCAAAAACTGGTATTAATTAATAGATGGAAGGGTTAGATTTTTTTAATAGTAACCATGAGCAGCTATATTAATTTATTGGTAAACCAAAAAATATTAATTCAGTTTTAATTAATTAATGGAAGGATTAGATATTTTATGCCACCCTGAGTAGCTATATTAATTTATTGGTAAACCAAAAAGATAGTATTAATTTAATTTTAATTAATATATGGAAGGATTAGACTTTTTATGCCACTTGTCGATAAAGCTTTTTGCATGTAACAGTCTTGGGTAGCTATATTAATTTATTGCACTGCTTTCGTCAATTGTAAATCAGTTTGATAAATGTCTCGAAGTGCAACTTAAGTTGGAAAAAACAGGAGTCATCTAGGCCGCCTTTGTTTCTGAAGGCCTAGGCGGCCGCATCCGCATTTTTTAACCTTGATTATCTCAAAATGGAATTGCTATTCTACTTTGGTAGAATAGCCAAAACTTGATCTACCTTTGGTTTTTTTTTTGGAAAACTTGATCTACCTTTGTTAGCTAGGTTATATACTTTCCTTAAGCTTATAATAATTTCAGAGCTTATGGTGCACTTCTCATGATGAATTTCTCCTGATAGAGGCTCCTTATTTAGGGATTTTGGGATAAAACCTATTGGGGCTTACTCTTGAATTTTGAGATGATCTTAGAAATGTTAGCAAAGGCCGATAGGTCTGAATCATGAATAGGAGTTGCATAAGTGGAATTGGGAATGAAAGCTGTGTGGGTCGAGAGAGCTGCTATAGAAATGATCACTTCCATCAAGGCAATTGTCGCATCAAAGAAGTCCCCTTAATTTAATCTACCAAAAAACTAGATGTCAACTTTAATTATCTCACAGTGATTCTATAAAAGCTTCTTGGAAGATTCATCTGAGCTAGCACAAGCTACACTATATGAATTGTAAGATCTCTTCTTTGGAGATATTGCTACTGAGCAACTTTGTGCAAATATCCTTAGCCAGCTTGGGGATTCAGTTAAGTAATAAACATTCTCGAGTACACTCTAGAGGAATAACCTCAAAGAAAGAACGGATGGCTCTCCAAATATCTTTTTGTCATGTGAGAGTATTTCATTTACCTGCTTAATTAAGTTCTGAGCTCGACACTTCAGCTTGCTAGAGTGAAAAAAGCTGTACGCTGAGTTGCTGACCATCACCTTTAATTATTTGCTACCCAACTTTTGTACTCTAGGACATCTTTTCTTGCTCTAGCTATGTTAGGCTCTACATGTTGGGACTTTCCCTACACCCAACCAATTGATGCCTTTCTCTAGCATTTCTAATGTGGTTGTGGTTTGCAATAAGGTGTGTCAACATTAAACAATCAAAGTAAGGCACAACTCTGAACTTTGTCAGAAGATGCAGTTTTGGCGCCAAAAGTTTTTACAATGGTCTGAAAATGTATTTTTACCCTTTGTCATGAAATTTAAATCTCGAAAAATGGTGTAAATAAAGCAGATCTAAAATCACTTGAAAATTTTGAAAATGGGTGTTCCAGATAATATGTTCCAAGTTGCACTTTTTATAGGACTTGAAATCATTTTTATTTATATTTGTATATCTTGAGTTTGAGATGATCAATTGAAGGGTTTTATAGCATCAAAACAACCTTTTCCAATGGCTTTTCGAGATGCACCTTACTTCTGTAGTATAAGGTTGATGCCTACTATAAATTTTCTTCCTTCTAATATTTGTTGCATCCAATCCATGAAGCACCTGTGAATAGAGAAGACCCTCACACTTGCCTCCAAAATCCCTCTCTTTTCCCCAGTGAATATATCGAGCATTTGGACTTGCTTTAGTGGACATTCTGTGGGCATCTTTTTTCTTGGGAGCTTTTTTTTTAAGAAATATTCTTTTTCTTAGAATCTGTAAAGATTCTGCAATGTTGATTCCTTTTGCTCTAGACAAGTTGATTGGAAATGACCTATCTTTTAGCAGCTCGATTCTTTTTTACTACCTTCTTTTTGTTTATGTATATGTTTTCTATATGTTTCATGCAGTTTATTATAAAATATGGTACTTAGAAATTCTTTATTTACAATTAGTGAAAACTCTTATGAACCCTAAATAAGAAATAAAGTGCAGAAATTCTCACATGTATGCAGCATAGATAGACAGCCTCTAAGAAAGGAATTGTCATAACGCTAACATCAAAGACATACACCCTTTTTGCAAAATAAATTTATGATATCCTGTTTTATTGTCAATACTTTGTAAAAATATGTTTACCTTTTTCACTCAAAATTCTTCTATTTATGCCATTCATTACTGAAATATGGCATAAACCAGCTCTTGACCTGTCATATATGTGTGTGTGCTTGCACGCGTGTGTTTATTACAAATATATGGTTATTTGACTCATTTATAACAGAATGGCCTCCTATTTACCGGTGGAGAAGATTGTAGTGTGAGAGCATGGGATCCAATGACTGGGAAGGTTGCATTTTCCTTTGAAAATGCACATTCGACTCGTCTAAAAGGCCTTGTTGTTTTTGGGGAAAGATATGACCAGGGTGATGATGCTCCATACATCATCGCATCTGCATCGTCGGATGGGTTCATAAAGGTTTGGGACTTGAGGATGGCTACAGAGAGGCCGACCCCATTGGAGGAAGCTTCCATCAAATGTCGGCTAACTTGCTTTGGAGGATCCTGTATTAGAGGTTTGTTTCTACTTTTTATCCATTCTTATTGTGATTCCTCTATCTTATTTTAACTTTGCTAAAGTATATTATAATCCAATGGACCATGCAAAACCATAGTCAATCGGAATAATGACGGAGGTGGAAAGTGAAGTTTGCCATTGGGGTGGGTCGTCACTGTCCAATGAAATAATGGACACTGATGGAAAGAGAGTGGAAGCTATCCATTAAGTCCTGCCATTGTTCGTAAAACCGGCCGGTCCAAACCGGAACCGGCCGGTTAGATCAGTATCGGCAAGGCGGTTAGATCAGTATCGGCAAGGTATTGATTCCGGTTAAGGCCGGTTTTGCGGTACTACTCAATAGACGCTCATCTTCAAAAAAAATTGGTACAAAAACCGGCCGGTTCGATGTCGAACCGGCGATATTTTCTAAAAACCGGCCGGTTTTCAGCTTACCGGACCGGTTCGTCGTTATAACAGCGTTTTATGGTAAATAACGGTAACTTATAAATGACAGCGTTATTTCAAATTCAAACCGTTATTTGTAGAAGGAAAACTGTGAATCCAAATTTCACCATTTTTTATTCGGTTTGTGGCCATATTTTGGTTTTTTTTCGTGTTTTAATGGTTTAAATCACTATATAATGAATCTAAAACAATAAATTTGGATTTAAACATTGAAAAAAACGAGTTTCTTGGATTGAAATGGCAGTTTTTTTAGGTTTTTGAAAACTTCCGCCATTCTTTCAATAATCTCCTCAATACCTAATGATTCTTCAAGAAAGTTTAGGGGTTTGATTGCTATTCGAAGTATTTACTAGATTCAAGCTTTAATTTGATCATAAAACAAAACAATAAAGGGTTTATTTTAGCCCGAATGGTTGCTGCTCCAAGAACCTGTCTTCTACCTAAAAAACGGATTTTTTGTCATTGGTTGTTTTTTGTCAAATTAAGTTGTGTATTTCAATAATTGAGGCTTTATAGCTCAAATAAAATTACTATGTTTATTTATTATTGAGTAAATTTTTTTATATCAATTTTTTCGTTGCATCATAAACGAAAATTTCATAGATCTCGAATTTCCGCAATTTTTTCAATTAAATAAAAAATAGCTAATATTTTTTGATGATATTGGGTGCGTTTGAAAGATGATCGAAGCCTTTACAATGCATGTATGTTTATTTTTTCAATTATCCAAACATTGAGGGTCGTTTCTTGCTCGAAATGTTGCTTCATTTTTTGGGTTTTTGAAATGTCGATTTTTCTAAAAAAGATATTTTGTTGAAGAAAATTATGTTTTTTGATAAAATTGAGAAATATTTTTCTATTTTGCTTAATAAATTTTTTTTAATAGAATTATGATTTTTTTAATAAAATTACATTTTTTTGATGAATATGGGAAGTGTTTTTCTATTTTGCTTAATAAAATTATTCATTTGATAAAATTATTTATTGATGAAATTGATTCTTCTTTTTGATAAGGGCATGATAATGTCGCTCGATTTTTTAGCTATCTTTTTTTTTAAGTTGATATATTTATATTTGTAATTATGGAAATGGGATATTTTGTTTTTTAAAGTGCATGTAAAAATTATGGTTGCCTTATGTTCAATGAAACACTACACCATCTTGTATGTGCTTTGTTCTTCTCCTTTTTCTTTATTTATTTATTTTGTTCATTCTCTATCAAGTTTTTGGAATGTTATGGAAATAGCCTTTAAAAGATCAACCATTTTTAAAAAAATCGGCCGACTAACTCGGGATCAGTCACTGGCCGATCCTGATCTGGCCCGATTCCAGAGAGAGAGAGAGAGAGTTATGCAACGATCTTAATTTCAAATCATCCCTCATTTGATAAAATGATTTTTCTAAAAAAGAAAAATTTCATTTTGTGTAGTAAAATTATATATATTTTTTATCAATATGGGCAGTTTTTTCTATATTATATGACAAAAATATCTTCAAAAAAATATCCTAAGCTATTTTCAAGCACATGACCATAGTATTCGAATATTACTTTATAAAAAGTTGTTTCAATTTTTTTTTTGTAAAATAAATGTATGTAATAAGATATTATACATTTAGTCTACATATTTTTAGTTTTTTTTTTTAATATTTTGAGAGTTTTTAACCTAGTTTTTTTAAAAAATCTACTTGACCAGTTAGTCAGGTTAACCGCCGCGGTTAGTCCGGGTCCAGTTCAAACCGCTCCTAACCCCATGTCCGATTAACCGTTCCGGTTCGATTTTGCAAACACTGGGTCCTGCTTTCTCTCTCTCTCTCTCTCATCCTTTTATTGGATGGTGATGGCTCTCTCTTTTCATTCATCCCATTGTTGGGTGGTGATGACTCAAGTGGATTATGGTTTTGCCGTTTTATACATTTCCCATTAGATGATAAAATCCTTCAACCTTTTGTTGATTCTGTTGCTTCATTCCCCCTTGCTCATTCACATGAGATTCGATACCGCTTTTCTGGTCTCTTTTCCCTTGAGCATCCTCCTTTGTGGATCGCCAAGCTTTTGTACTTCTCTTTCTTATCAATTTAAGGTTAACAATATCCAAAAGAAAAAAAATACACACTGATGTACGAAAAGAGTCCAACCTTTTTGAGATAGGCCAAAACATCTTACTCAAGTGCTTCCTTTATAGCACTATTTCTGGCAATTGCAAAAGGGTGTTTGAGTGGCTTACTGTTCACTATCACGAAAGGCCATCAATTGGCTGTTCTCTGACTTGTTTTGAAGTTGTAACACTTACCTTTCTTATGTTTTGCCCAATTAAGTTGAAACTGTGTTTTTTTTTTTGTGTGTGTGTGCATGTGTGTACAACATGTGGAACTATTTGCTTCCATACATTTATGTATAATTATTTGGGTAAGGATACCTTGTGTATGTTCATTTGTATGCATTTACATGCATGCGAGTGTGTATGTGTACCCACACTTGCATCAGGAATTACTGCAAGGGATGCTGCCATTTTGTTCAAAGTTGTTTTTTTTTTTTTCTTTGGATGATTGCCCTTTTGTTCCAAATGTTATTTAATAAGGTTAAACAAGACTAGCTATGCATGGTTTGGGGCTTTTTTGTGGGTTTGGTTGTTAATGCATACATTTTATTATGTTTCCACAACCTTGCTTTGTCAACAAAAATGCTTTCACAAGTGGATTTATGTTCAAATGTGCATGCGATAGTCCACCTCATACATGACTTTGCATGATATATTCTAGCTTCTACACATCCAGCCATCATGAAAAGTTTTTAATTGTGGTTGGTAGAAGTTAAACTCTATTTCTTTGTCAAGGAAACACACATAGGAAAGAAAAACTGTACTGTGTTTTTCAGATATATCTAAATTTTTTGTAAATTTTATGCAGAAAATGTTTGCCTCGTTGATTATAGTTCACATGTTCTTCATTTCTATTAGCATAGTTGATATTTTGGTCACAAATACCCTCTTTTAAGTTTCCGTGCCATTTGTGTATGTGCATGCTCTGTGTGTTTGTGGGTGTGTGTGTGAGAGAGAGAGAGAGAGATGATGATGATGATGACGACAACAATTATGGTGTTTTTTGTTCTCTCAGCTTCGAGAAAATCATTGAAGAGTTGAAACTTTCTGGAGCGTACACTATAACTTTGGGGATTCTATTAGATGATAGATGGGGCCACACAAGATGGACATACGGCTTTTAGTACACCAAAAATGATTGATTGAGGTATTATTCTGGAGTCTGAAAATGGTGAGAGATTCACAGCCTGTTGGTTACTTTGTTTTTTCATGGGATCAACTTTATGTTGGATTTGAATAGTCAAGATTGTATAAATATTCGGAAGCCTATCAATTTTGATGTGAAATGCTTATTGGACCATTTCCTTAAAGGCTGATAGTGTCATTTTCTTTGGGCATATTAGCTTTTTGAACTTGCGCATGAGACAATTCTTCAGTTTTCTTTATGCGCTCCTATGCTTCTTTTGTTGGAGAGAGCTTAATATATATTTGGTTTTAGTGTTTAGTCAAGAATGTGTAAAGCGGTGACGAAAAATCATCAATCCAACCGATCCTGAATCGCTTGAGTAAGATCGAGTTCATCAGCTGGAAATCGGCTCGATTATCTGGTTTTTAGCTACTTTATTATTATTATTTTTAATCTCTTTGTTAGATATCAACCTGTCTTGGGTATCACTCAAGCCCGAAGGGTCCAATTGGAATGGGATCCTCGCAAGTTGGGGCCCTGTTCTGATATTTGAAACGCTAGTATAAACATTTGAAATGCTTATTGAACCTTTTTTGTTTTAATTGGTTTCTTAGGTTGGAATCGGCTTGTTCACGGGCTTATGAGATTTTTCCATCTAGCTCAAATGTTGGGAGACTATTTTTCAGTCCTCTTCTTGTACTTCTTTTTTCATCCGAGAGAGAGATTAAATGTGGTGCCATGTAAAAGAGAGGGATAGGATTGGTTGCTTTCATATGAGAGAGAGAGATTAAATGTGGTGCCATCTAATACAGAGGGATAGGATTAGTTGCTTTCTTATGAGAGAGACAGACTTATTGTTCTTTTGCGATTGTGATGTAACAAAAACTATACAAGTCTATTTATCTTTGGTACAGAAGGTCGCAATCACTCATAGCTGTCTGTCTGATATAGGAATTGATAGTTGGGAACATTGCCTTTGATTGTGCTCAAGTTTAAAAGAATTTTTTTTGGAACTTTGTTCGTAAATATGATATATTCTATTAGTATGATTTTACATCTAACAACTAGTGGTGATTATGACTTTGTTTTATGCCTTTTGCCTGCAAGACCTTAAGTTAGGAGTTGGCACTAGTCACACTCATACATTCTTGGCCTCTTCTTGATGATGGAACTAAGAGGTGGGAACCTTAAAAGTGAGGAATCATGTGCTAAAAGCCTATCACTTGGGGACCTTGCTTTTTTTTGTACTACATTGGTGGGTTTTGGAATGGACTGGCCGGTCTGAGTTATCGGATTGCTGACTTGTGCCTTGATCAGTTTGGTCTAAACTAAAAATTGGTTTAATAAGAAGTGTTCAAATTAATGTTTGACTGATTTTGGCTAGTAAGATTTATTATTTTAACTAGCTAAATGAAGTTAGGCAAATTTTTTGTACTATACTATTTCATATTTAAAATTCTTATTTTTATATCTGTCTTTTATTTTCTAAGATTTGGTCTAAGGGGTTTAACCAAGGTTTAGGTCTTTGGATTGATTTTAATTGAACCAAACCCTTCAACTCTTCTCCGGTTGGTATAATCCTCGTAACGTTGTTAATTTGTTGGGTGAAAAATTTATATTCTTTGACTTGTTGAATATGACTATGGGCAGTCAATAATCGAACCAATCTTTTGTTGATGAAGTAGAGGCAAAGAAACCTTATGACCTCTGTTTGTTCTCAACAATCATATTGCCTCTATTTGTTCTCAACAAATCATCCCATGCCTATTAATGCTCTTTTAATAGTAGTTCAGGTTTTAAAGGTTGCACGCTGTTTGTTTTGCAAAACGTTGTGTGAAACTCATGGAGAGAAAGAGAGAGAGGAGGAGGGGACTTACTATCAGCATGCATTATAATATTAGGGCACAAAGGTTGATGTATCCTTTATAAAAAAAAGTATACGATAAACTATTTATCTTACAATTAATCTTCATTATTGGATGTGAAATTAAATTGCTGCATTTATTCATTGATCAAGCTCAACTTTTGAAAGATTTTTCTCGAACTTTGTAATACAACCATATTATCGATTTCTCCTCGAATAGTTATAAGTAATTGTGACTTCCTTATATCAAATGTAAATGGTCTCATTGTATACAATAATCCCATCATTTGTGGCTCATGTGGATGCCCATCACAACATGTTTTAGCCATGTTGGGTAGTGTGTTAGGTGATGGCCAGTTTGTGCTTTGGGTGGTTTATTTGACTACTGATTTTTGGAAGTGTTACCAATGAAAATGGAGCCTAAGACGTTATGTTGAGGCACCTGTACCGTAAACCACCAATGCCCCGATCAAATTCCTTTTAACTGCCACTTTAGGAGCTTGTTTAGGTGCAGTTGAAATCATAGAATGTCGCTGCTTTGTGAGTGAGAATGTACATATTGTGTTATGAGGGTTCAGGTTTTGCCTCAAATCTAGATCAACAAAAAGATTCCAAGAGAGGACATTTTAGGGAAAAAAAAACAAAAAGTGAGAAGTGGAGTTCTTTTTTTTTTTTTTTGGGTAAGTTAGTGAGGGACCGATTTTCATTAATAAATAAATATGCAAAGTACAACTCATAATCTTACAGCCCCAATATAGGGAATTTGTGCAACATCACAAGTAAGGAAGAAGAATAAAATATGTTGGTCCTGCTCACCAAGTGGTGGCATCAGAAAAACAATCGTGGCTTTCTAGACGAAAAATGGAGTGGAGAAAGAAATATGAGTTCCCTTAAAATTAGAGCCACTTTATACTCAAATGAGAACCTTGTGAGTCCAGAATTTGGGCGGTGGATCTGACTAAAACTCTTCGACCTTTTTCCACGAACCTAATTCAAGTGTGCAAGAGGAATTGTAAAAATGTCTTAAAGGTGGGTTTTGGGCCCCCACAAGAGGAAACGTTGGGTTGGGTGGATTGGGCATTGAAAATTCTTTGAAGGTCCAGATCCGCACGGATTATAAGCATTGGCATAAAAATCTTTAATGTAATGCATGTCTAAACCATGACCAATAATATTCAAGAACTAGTGGGCATAGTGATAGCCAAACCTTCTCCAATATGAAAATGGCTCCCACCCCTCCCTCTCTCTTTCTCTTACCTCTCGCCCCTCTTCTTCTCTTCTCCGCCCTCCTTCCATCATATCAATCTCCTCCTCTTCTTAACTTTTCTTCAGTTCAGATCCTCTCTAGTGGGGGTCTTCTATCCCCAGAGAGATGATTCCAAGGGCATCAAGAAATGGAGCAGGACCTTATGGAAGGAACTTGGCCTGGCTTGTAGGCAACTCTCTAACGGTTCCTACCTCTTCTCCTTCCCATCTGTTGATGTCGCTTCTTCTATCCTCGACAACTCTTCTGTGAGCTACTTTCACGGGGCTGCTCTCCATCTCTCCAAATGGTCGGGGGACCCGGGTGCCTATCGTCTACAGAAAGTTTGGCTTAAAGTCTCTGCCGTTCCTCTGCCTACTTGGTGCATGGATACCTTCAAGGCCATTGCTGAGGCTTGTGGTACTGAGGCCTGTGGTACCTTTGTAGGGTGAATTGGAAGTCACTAGACAGCCTTCCCCTCGAGTCTTTGTTGATGATAATCGAGGTGCTATACCCCGGGACTATCCCCGCTTTTATTTGGCTCGAAGTGGATGGAGCCTTCCATCAGGTCTTCATCTCCTGGTCCACGGCCTACCCTCTGTCCAACTGCATAGTTCAGCATGGCAGCCTCGCTTGCTTTGCTTTGGAGCATGGTACCAACCCCCCTAACGAATGGACTCTGGTAGCAAGGAAACACTGCATTTCCTATCGAAATCGTCGGGGTTACCGTGAGGATGTCGGCAAGGCAAAAATGTTTTTACCCAATCCCCCACTGCTGCCTACCCCTCCTCCACCACCACCCCCTTCTTCAGACCCCCCATTTACAATCAGGCAACTCATCCTTGACCATGTGTCTTCCAGACGTGTCTAATGCGACAGACGCATACCACCTAACAACCTCGGTTGGGATGATGGAGCAGCCGTGAATTAATGACCCTCCCATGCAGCCCCTTTGCCCTGCTGAACCGTCATTGTCTACTCCATTTGGCTGTACCTTGTAGCTGCCCTCAATTAATGTTGGAGGAGGCGGGTTGTGCAGCTCGTTGCACCCCCCCCCCCC